TCATTTTGCTTCCGAGAAACATGCAAAACGGGACGGAAAACATGAAATTTTGCAATAACCTTGCGCCACCCTTGCACAAAACGACGATCATTTTTTTAATTTCATAAACAACGGCTGGACCCGCCCCTAAAAATAACGGTGGTTTGCACACAAACAGCTAAATTTCAAAATCACACATTTAGCAGCAAGATGAGGTCAATATTTCGTGTTTTATGCCATCTTTTGCTCATTTCCCAGGAACAGGTTCAATTCCACACCCTTGAATAAAGGCTCAAATGGCGCTTTTGTCTGGTAAAGTCTGGAAAAGTCTTCGCACAAAAAGCCCAAAATTTCTAGACAACTGTTAGTTTTACGCGGTTTTAACGCGATCGCGTATGCCACTCTTTTTGCTGATATCATTCGAAAAAAATGAGGTAGAGCGTCAATTTGTACACCCCCGAATAGCGCATTTATAAACCTAAACCCCACTAGGGAAAATATTGGCTTTTTCACCAATTCAATTGGGGATCGCTTTATTTAACTTGCGTTGCTTATTTCAACAAATTCCACTTCTTCACTGAAATATTCGTACCTTTATCATGCTCTTCAGTAGCGTATATCTCTGGAAAACGTTATGCACATTCTTGCTCTCATTGTACTTGGTCATCAACCCGACCAAAGCCTTTTTGGCCGTATCGTAAGACTCATCCATCCGGACTCGGACCGCTCGAAGTCGCTCATTCGTTTCGATCACTTCCTCCTTGGTGGCCCCGCTAGTGGTTCCTTCGTCTTTCACATCTTGCACAATCCGGCGCACACTTTGAGTGAACTTTCCCACTAGATTGGTGGAACCTGCAATAGGAAAACTTCCATTCAACAAAAAAATAATGGTCGATTAGAAGACGGTTTAAGGGTGGTTGGCTTCGCCAATAGCAAAATGTGGCTGGTAGATGCGAGTTTAAATATGCAGAAGTACAAAGAAAGCGATTTATGTGCAGTTGAGGAGAAAGCTGTTTTGAATAAGACAAAACTTGCCCAATAACAGACAGAGAAATGAATACAGACCGCAGTCAAGTGATAATCAAGGAATCGAACGGAGAAATTAGTTGAATATTTTGGGGAAAAGCTGCATTATTTAAGTCTAAATTAACATCGGGGCAAATTTCTTGGGTTTTGGTCCAAGTCTGGATCCTCAAATGAGAAACTAAAAATTTTCACCTTAAATGGAAACTTCAAACTAATCCCTAGAAAGAGCTTCAAAATCTGCATAATGGAAAGATGATACATTAAGGTTAAATCGAATTCGAAATTTTAATGTGGAAATTTGACCTAAACTTTCAATTTCGAGAAAAAAAATTGTTCAAAAAATCGAATTTTCAATGTAGCAATAGCCAGTTGGAAAATGAGTTTTAAGTTGCAATTTTCTATCAATTTTTTTTGTTTAAACGTTTCTCTAAACTCGAAACTGTAGAACGAAGTTTCACGGTTGAACTCGAATTTTTAGATCCAACCAAGCAAGAAACGAATTGAGAATTAAAATTGACTCTATTTAAACTTGGGGAACTTCAGAGCGCATTAAACAAAGCGAAACTCAAATATGAAGTCCTCAAACTGAAACTCATCATCAAAATCATCCCATTTTAACCGAAAAACTAATGCGGACTGAAAGAAACTGTGTCTCCAAACTCAACATTAATTACTTTAGGCTGGAAAAATCGAAAAAACGGCTTTCGTACGGCTAAAACTTGATGGTAAAATTGCACGAAGTGCAACTAGATGGTACCCATAAATACCATGACCCTCAACTTCAGAATCACCAACAAGTCGGTTCATGGTAATCAACGGCTATACCAGAACCAAACAGAACACCAGTCGCTTATAAATGGTTTTATGGGTACCAGCGTCATCGCGGTACCACCACTTTACTACGTAAATCATTGGTGGAAGCGCGTTTCTTTACATTTGCCATGTTGATTGAATTTGAATATTGAAAGACTTTTTTCCATTGAAGTTTCAAGTGTGCATTAGTGCGAAGGTTTTCCAAAGTTCCTACACCATCAAGCAAGTAAGTGTGTTTATGGTTTAGTTTAATTATATTCGATTTACATGCTTCTCCTTTAAAAGTTGTCGAAGGATTTCGTCATTCCATTGAAAAAATTCAAATGTCTGCCAGTTTGCCAAAGCATTTCGTTACGCGATTTGTTTACTGAATAACTTTGTCAAATTTGAATTAAACTCATTTTATTCCACTGGTTTTGTGTCTGCCTTCATCATCTTGCTCAAGCTTAAAAGTCATCGATTTTTTTAGGAGCAATTAAGCAAATCCATTATGTCAGTTCAGATATCTATTTATAATTAGCCACTTGTTTGCTTTAAAATTCTAATCATAATTCAAATTAAACATTTATTAATTAGTGTTGTCCTCCGGCTTTATTAGCGGCTGGATTTTATCAAGCCCACATTAAAACTCTGATTGCCTTCGAATGAACAACATTCTTTGGCATTATGATTTAGCAGACCATAACAACAATCTTTTTCCGTCACCAGCGGAAGCCACAGCCGAAAATGTTTAAAATGTGAAAAATAATGACAATTTCCTGCTAGTCCATAGAGCCATAATTAGGTTGAAAAGCATCAAATGCATCAGACGAGTAATTTGATTTTAAACAGGCAAAAGAGGAAGAGGCGAGAAGGGAAACAAAACGCAAATAAGAGATGAATTTAAAGAGCGGTGATTTTCTTAGAGAACAGTTCAATCAAGTGAGTCGTTAATCAGCCAGTAAGTAATCCAGTTGCCAACATTCACACACATGCATTTTTAATAATCGTGTTCGGATCTGATTTATTTTTAGAGAAACACATGGAAAACACATCGAGTACACTTAACTTACGGGTCGGCGGGCGTTCGTTTGCTCTTCGAAGCGACATGTTTCCTAAATGTTTATTTGTGTAGTGTTGTCTCAGCTCTGTGCTCAGTGTTGGTGTGTTTCTAGAAAACAATTTTCAAAATTAGCCAAGAAAATAAGAACGGGGTATTTTCTAAAAAGCAACTCGTTTGAGGTAAAGGCAACTAAATTGCAATCTGGTTTACCAAAGTGTACTTTATAAGCATTTGCATTTTCTAAAAGTCACGATAATCAGATTTAGATTTTATCGAAATAGGCTAATAGAATTGCCATTGTCCAGGTTGCGTTGGAAAGTCCAATTGTTGCTACAATAATAATTATTATTATTAGATTCATTCGTTCAAAACAGCAACAGCTGGGCATCAGAATTAATCATCAGCAGCCGTCGTTGATGAAAATTTGGTGCTAACGTTTCGCTATCACGCATGACTATCATTTTCAGAAGTGTGTGCGTTTTGAGTGCTCAAGCATTTTTTTGAAATAAACAAAAAATCCATTCAGGAATGTAGGTAGCATCGGATCTCTCGCTCGCACCCATGCGAGTCGGTGGGGGATGCCAGTTGGATGGCGCGTTGCTACGTTCGCACTTGATACCTTCGCCGCTAAAAATAATTCAGTTTTGAGCCAGACAAGTAGAAATACTTTTTGAATGTCAAAAAAAGTCAAAAATCAGAATATCGAGATGATTACCACAACTTTATTGGACTTTGCAATTAAAATCTCGTAGAAATTGTGGCATAAATGATGATTTGTTTGAAGTTTTGGCATCGGAATTTCAGCGAATTTTCAAATTCGTCCACTCTTAACTTGATTTTAAATAACTTGTTTAATTACATTCCTGGTTGTTGTTTGCTGCATTGTGAAGGTGTTAATGTATTTTTAAGCAGCATCGATATGCGTTTTATTAGAGTGGATTTTAATGAGTAAATATTCCGTTCCTCAAATACACTTTTTTCTAGTTTTTGCCTGATTTGACTCTTGATTAGATCAGAGAGCATTAAAAGGTTGTTTAAAGTACCTAATTTATAAAAAACGTGTTTTTTCTTGACTTATCAAACAAACATCAAGGATTTGCATATAAAAATCCTTGGTAATTGTGATGATTTATCATTGTAGGCGCTGTATGATGGACAACATCACTTACGTCTTAAGCAAGCAATTATCATTTGTTAAGCAGAACAATAAAGCCAGTTTATTTGCTTAATAAGCGCGCATATCAAGCTAAGTCGTATAAAAAAGATGACTTACTTTTAATAGGATTAAGGCTCCGGTGTTTGAGATCATTATTAAACATACGATGGTGATTGAACAGTGGCATTTCAAACTCAATCACTTTCAGCATTTAGAATCGAATTTATCCTTATCCTTCTCGTCATTTTTAGACAGGTTTTTGGCGGCTTACGAAACAGCCGATTTTGGCCAATTTTTTGTAGACCTAATGTAGAGCCAGTTGATGGAGTTAGATAAGAGGCGCAGTTAATTTTCATTCAAAATCGCCGATGTAATCCGTTATTGAGTTATCACGCTTTGACGGCCCTTAGTTGTCCTGCAGATTAATGGCCATTGTACTGCAAGCTTATTGGTCATTAGTCTTTGTTTCCTGTTTGTCTCCGTATAATGGGGTGTGATTTGATTGTTCGCCTCAGTAGTTGACTGATACTGGCAATCCATTTTTACTCCCATCCAACTACTGCTTATGGACGATTTTTACAAAAGTGATACTAACGAATGCAAGTGAAGTGAAAGTTAATCAAATTGGCAGAAACCTTTTGTTAATTGTAAGTGCAAGGCAACAGTCATTGTGAAGATTCCAAAGATTTTGCATTTAGTGCATCAGTTTGGGGGGCCTTCAAAGTGCGCTCTTTAAAATTCAGCCATGCAATTAAGCAGCCTTGCGGCCATTTAAATGCTATTGTTACTAAGCAGGTGTGATTGGATTACAAGTTGTCGTCGGTTTTCTTAAATAAGGACACTCCTGAGATTTTTTCCATGCAAATAGTTCAGATAGCAGCTAAATGGGTCATGGCACGAACGTGCAAAGTCATAAAACGAGCAAATAATGGCAATAAACGTGACTGTTGGTTTACTCATTTGTCTTATCTGTAGATTGTGCAGATATTTAGTTTTTCAAGAAACTCCAAAGTAGATTTATACGGATTTTGGCACGGAGTCGAAATAATGCGAAAATTTATTTGGTCATTTCTAGAATGATTTAATTGGGTAGCGGCGCAAGTTGCCAAAAACTTATATTAATTATATACATTATTCTCATCGTAATGGAGCGAAGAATGCGACCAATTCATTGAAAAACACGCTTAAAGCTTCAGATCTGAAATATACGACTTTTTGGATGGTTTCTAGCGAATTTTGCGCGGTCACGATCTTCACTCGAACTGGTACTGCAAAAAATCTGAAGTAAAAGTGAAWTTTATGTCTTTGCAGGAGCCTAAAATGTTGCTAACATTCTGAAAAACTGATTTTCAGAGAAAATTCTGTGTAGACAGKTTCGAGTCAAAAATTGCAAGTTTTTCAAGTTTTGGGYCCATCRAAACTTCACTCTTCTATTTTCTTGGCATTAAACCAGCGAAATATTGATTTAGTACCAGTAGAAATTTTACTTCGACRTCTTAAAACTTCGACCTTGACTACAAGAAGATAAATCCATACGGAACCCAAATCTAGTTTTTCACCATTACTGAACCTTTTATCGGTTTACTTTCCCGTGCTTTGTACATTAAATATATTAAAACCTTGAGCGTCTTTGAGTCGTTACTGATTCAATAGTGCATTGTGAGTCCTGATTAATCTGACATTTAAAAATTAAAGCTCTAATAGCCATAACGCTTGAGACCTTCGTCTAATTGATTTTGTATGTTTTCAGCGAATTCGGTCAACTTTCAACTGTCTCAAAAAGCTAAAAGTGTTTAATTGAGTTTGCTGTTGGGCTTCGCCCTCCAGCTCAAAGTACTTAAATGAAAATTAAAAGATACCTAAATGAGAGGTTTATTTCAATCAGCAGCTGGAATGGCGTACCCAAACTAATTAGCTAACCGGAAGTTTAAATATTTTATGTCGTCGTTTTCCTGCAGAAATTAAATAAGTGTCTTTGTGGGCGCCAGTTGAGCCTATTCATTCCTTCCATGCGTTTGAAAAGTTCAGTGTAACAAACACGCAAAACTTTGTTTCACTTTCGCATAGTTTGAATCGTCTAATGGACGAGATAAACACGGGACTGTCCATTACCACTAGCATGGAATTTCTTGATTTTCCCTACAAAAGCCCCCCTAGCACAAGCATATACTAGATTGTCATGTGAAATGCGACTCCGATTGAAACAGAACAGAGTTTAGGGAACAGACTGTTCAGAATTTCAAACAGTTGTTTGTTCTCCATTGTGGAGATAAAACACCAATGGGAATGAATAATTTACTGTGGCGCTAGTCGCAATCGTTCCACATGCAAGGTGGTTAATAAATATTAAAATGGGCCGTTTATACATGGTTGCGGCCATTGGTTTTTTATAAGTGTTTTGCATAATTTACTAGAAAAAGCGTGCGTTAGTGAGCTGTATAAAAGTGTTCAAGATGTGAAAATTTTAGATTTTTTCGTTTCTACTTATAAATGATGTAGCAGTCGAGGTATTTTGAGAAACTTGAATTTTTTGGAAAATCTACCTCTTACT